GCCATGCCGCGGTGCAAGCCCCCTTCCCAGCCCGCCTGCGGGGGCCACTCACCGGTTTGCCCTGCTCGCCGGGGGGGCCCACGAGGCCACGCTCCCCACGGTCACCCTGCGGAGAGCCAGGAAGAGCAGAGTCAGGAGAAGCTCCCCGCACCAGCACCCACCCTGGGGTCCCCCAGACTCACCTTCAACCCGGGGACACCCTGCGGTCCCTGCTCCCCCCGAGGTCCTGGTTCACCCTAAGAGGGGGGGAAAAAATAAAACCAACAAAAACCCAGACCAGATGCCTCTCTCCTGCATTCACACACCATCATCTGCCCTTCATCCTTCCCCAAGGGATGGGTGGCCCTGTCCTTGTCCCCTGCAGCCACGCCAAGGGCTGCCACAGCAGCGGGTGGCCAAGGAGGGGGCAGCAGGGCTGGAGAGGTGGCCCTGGGGGGTCCTCGTGGGGAAGCTGCTGCGGGGACAGAGGGAAGGGGATGGAGGGAGGACAAAGTGCCCAACTCCGCTTTCTGTTCGACAGCAAAGAGGGAAAAAAAGAGCAAAAGAGAGAAAGAGCTACCCGCAGGTTTGACATCTCGGTACTTACGATCTGCCCTGGGGCACCGGTGACACCGGGCTGGCCCCGAGCACCCGCTTCACCCTGCAAACAGGAGACAGGTTCAGGGACAGCAAGGACAGGGGAGGGGACGGGATGGGGACACGGCTGCGGGCTCAGGGATGGAGCATGGAGGCTGCCACTGCACTGCGGGGGACAGGGCAGGTGTCAGAGGGGAGACCCCGGCCCCCCCAGACCCACCTTGTCTCCTGGGCCACCTTTGCTCCCCGGCTGGCCCGGCAAGCCCTGTGGAAACAGAGCCGGGATCAAACCCCGTGCACAGCCCCGGAGGCAGAGACCCTGCCCGTGCCCCCAGCCTGGGGGCAGCATCCCTGCTGGGGGCTGGCCTTGAGCCCCGGCACAGCACGGGGATAGGGGTGCCCCCCCATGGGTTATGGGGTACCCTCCCAGGCAGGTGGGGGTCTCACAGTCCTGTACTCACAGCTTGTCCCCGGTGTCCTGGAAGCCCCGGGCGGCCAGCTTGTCCCACGCCACCCTGCAAGGGACAGAGAGGAGCCTGGGGGCAGCATCCCTGCTGGGGGCTGGCCTTGAGCCCCGGCACAGCACGGGGATAGGGGTGCCCCCCCATGGGTTATGGGGTACCCTCCCAGGCAGGTGGGGGTCTCACAGTCCTGTACTCACAGCTTGTCCCCGGTGTCCTGGAAGCCCCGGGCGGCCAGCTTGTCCCACGCCACCCTGCAAGGGACAGAGAGGATGTCACCACATTGCGGAGAAAGGTGCAGAAATGGGGTTTCCATGGGACAAGGGTCCAAAGGGGGACGCTGTCCTTGACCCCATGGGGACTGCCACGCTGCACCGGCCAGGAGATGCCACATCAAGATCTGGGACTTTATGCCACTTGCTGTCCCCCCCAGCAGCCCCTGCCCACAGCTGCTCACCTTCACGCCTGGGATGCCCGGGGTGCCGTCCTTGCCATCGATGCCCGGGAGACCCTGCGAAAGGGGGAGAGTTGCTGCTCTGGCTGACACCTCCGAGAGGGACTGAAAGGTTTGTGGTGGGGGCAAAAAAAGGCTGGGAAGGGAAAGGGAAGCTCCAGTCCCACATGGAGCTTGGGTGTAAGGATGTGGGGTGGCTCCGAACAGGACAGAGAAGGACAGAGAGGTCTTCTTGCGAGGAGTTTAGCCCCAGACGTGGGTACCGGTGCTGCTGGCTGTACTTACGTTCTCCCCCTTGGGGCCGATGTCTCCTTGGGGACCCCTGATGCCACGGCCACCCTGGAGTGGGAGACACAAGCATTATTTCAGCCACCCCCTTGCTGCAGCGGATGGAGCTGGGAGAGGGAAGAGATGCCCATCGCGGTCACCCCAGGCAGAGCCCCTCTCTGTGCCAGGGAGCGGGGCCAAGCTGGGGAAAAGGCAGCGTTGGCATCACCAGGGCCACGGTGCTGCCCTCCCCGATGGAGTGGGTTACCTACCAGATCTCCCTTCTCACCGGGGTCCCCGGGTGGTCCCTTGGGGCCTTCCCTGCCCTGGAGGGGAGAAAGATGGGGACTGAGCAGCAAATTGTGGGGTCCCCCACCTTCCCTGCAGCCCCTGGGGATGAGGGAGGGCACTCACCGGCCGCCCCGCAGCCCAGATGGTCCCGACCATCCCTTTGTAACCAGCAGGACCCTGCAAAGAGACCATGGCGGGGTCAATCCCTCCCATCCCAACCTCAGCCCACATCCAGATCCAACCCCACTAGCACGAGGCAGTCCAGCCCCCTGAGATGGCCACACAGCCCTGGTAGAGATGCTCCAGGGAAGCAGCCTCCAGCCTGGAAAGCATCACCCTGGGAGCTGGTCCCTCTGACCCCGCAGCTGGGCACAGCCACCCCTGCATCACCCCCTCCATCCCCCCATACTTACCGTCTCGCCCTTGGGTCCCTCCATCCCGGGGTAACCCCTCAGGCCCTGGGGTCCCTGCAGGGAAGGAAACAACAACCGGCTTAGCTGGAAACGGCCCCAGGAGCAGCGCAGGGGGAAGCCGCAATTAAAGCAAAAGCCGGTGCTGGGAATCAGCCAGTTTTGCCAAACACGAGGTGTTTCTGTCCCATGGCTCACTCCTAATTCTGCAGCCCCCCGCCAGGCGCCTTTCCAGCTGTCGGTTCCATAACAGCAATGGGCCCAAACTGGTGCTGCTTCCCCCCTCAAAGCTCTTGGCTTCAAAGCGGTTTTGCCCTTTCCCGGACCGAAGGGCTCAGCCTGTTAATTGCTTTTCGCCTTCAAAGGGCTTGGCGAGCTCAGACAGCTCTAATCCCTGCGTCCCCGCGGTGCGCTGGCCGCTGCACCCCTGGTTCAGGTGGGTAAGGGGGGGCTCGGTGCACATGAGCGATTTGGCCCCGGATGGACCACGGAGCGATCCATCGGGATGCAGCTTTGCCTCCTCCAGCTGGGATGAGGGAGGTGGATGGGATGAAGGCTTTGCTCCAGACCCAGCGGTGGGTCCCCAAGAGCAGGGACACGCTGATGTCCTGTCCCTGGTGTCTGGGCCGAGCACAAACCAGCCACCCCCGGGGCACGTGGGGGCAGAGCAGCAAAGAGCAAAGCAGCAAAGAGAAATGCATACGGTACCGGGGGGCCTGGGACACCTTGCTCTCCGGAGACACCAACATCCCCCTTGGGGCCCTGGGGAGGGATGGAGAAGAGAGAGGTGAGCATTGGGGTGCAGTGGGGGTATAAACCCTGCTGGAGATCTGAGACCCCCTCCCTGGGACCTGGTAGGGGTTGGGGACAGGTCCCCCCACCCCGGGAACCAGCATGGGAAGAGCACCCTGTCCACCCTCCATCTCCCAGCCCTGGATCTC